TCAGGAAAAGGTTGTTTTGCTTCGTTCAAGATAGCTAGAACATTTTAATATTCAGGATAGTATCATATTAAGCTTTTTTGCAGATGATCATACTGTATAGTGTACATATTTGCATATGTTGTTGACGCATTTCATGTTTTGTATCACGTAATTATATTAAGATTATAAAACATGTTACCATTCATATTATTTAGGAAACATGAACTTACTAAATAGCAGATTTACTATATGTTCCATTAAAGATAATATATATATATATATTTGTGTATTCAAAATAGTTATTTCAGAACATTTTATGCATTTCCTTGACTTGCCTCACTTAATAATAAATCTGAAACCATATTTCCTCCTTGGGGCATCAAATTATCGTGATAACGTTCTAAATCATTAAATATATTTTCAGAAGTATAATTTTGGATTCAGCAATCAGTCGGTTCTTTTTTGGCCGTATGTAATTTTCGTAAAAACGAATTACTTGGACTGTGTATATGTACCCATGTCAAATTTTCGAAGCAATCTGCATCCTTTATTATGACACAAGTACTTTATAAATTACATGTACATATGTAAGTCACATGTGGTATAACATGTATTTTTATACAACAAGTTAAATGTTACATGCAAAGATAATTTGGGAGTTAAATAACACCTTCTATTGTGGTAGAAATATATATGCATGTATCTAAATATTCAATATGTTGTCCTAATACCGGTTCTATAAATGTACATAGCAGCCCATTAAAGGTTCAACCCCAAAGACACTTCAAGTTTTATCTGTGATTGCAAAGTATGGCCATGTTACATAGTTAGATTTGTATGTTATAAATATAACAAAAATTCAAATCGTATGTTAATGTTAAGATTTATTGTAACATGAAATATTGAAAAGACAAAGTGCAGTAGAAAGCCATATAACAGGTGGACGTTTTCACTCGGGATTTCTTTGACACAGTTACAATAATGGGGATGGTGGTGGGAGGGTATTTTCTTGAAAATAATGCACATTACAAATTGATTATAACATATAAATACAATCAACAGAATAACTTAATGATGACATGAAACTAATTTACATGGAATTTTAATAAGTATAAATATTTGCAGAACTCAAAAACGTTATCATATAACTCTCAAAACCATCACATAGGTCTGACAAAAACGACGTTTGTGTGTTCAAGTTATCGCATAAATGCTACATATTTGGCCAATTCGAATATGTCTGCAAAACATTGTCATACTGTGGATATTGTCACAAAATATTTTTTATAACATATGCATCTATCTAAGATATTGAGATACTGAGCACAGTTGGGTTAAATATCGATTTATTTCCTGTCCACTAAACGAACAGATACGATCATTGTTTTTTTTTCAATAAAATTCTTCTCGGCAGAAATATTAGACGGTGTTTTCTTATGTTTGTGTTTTAATTAAGTTTGCTGATAATATAATCATATAGAGCATAGATATTACTGATACTGAATACAAATAGAGACTGATTTTAATGTATGGAAAAGCAGGACGGGTAAAATATAGTAATTGCTTTCGTTTTACACAATAATTTAGTTAGAAGAACGGAAAATTAATCTCATGTATTCCCGATCTGGCAATGATCCTCTTCTTTTGTTGGGGAAGGTTGTCTCACCTCAAATATTCCTTCATCCCCTATATTGACACGGACAGTGCCCATCGCAACCAACACGCACACCCCTGAAGTACATGAAAAATAACATTAAGAAAACGTGCGAAAAAACAGCCGGCATAAAAATTCACACGATAGTCTAAATAAAAATGCAAAACTTTTTTTCTCATAGCAAAGGATGCGTAACGTTAAGAATGAGCAGTGCATTGAAGATAAATAATAAGATATTTCCAGTACAGACGGTTTGAAAAAAAATCAAAGCATGAAACGTACTACATATATCTCGATACAACCATGGCTAGCAATGTCCATATACCGAACGAATAATTATTGGTAGGCCTATGCAATTCAATGTAAAAAAAGAATATTTAACTAAATTAATTGTAAACGTTTTTTATGACACACTGTATTATTGAGAATTATTGATCGTAACGTAAAAAATCAAAATCCTACAGAAAACAATATAGAACGTGAAAAACACTGTATCATATCTGCAACAATTCGTCAGTTGCATAAGACTACAGTATACGGTTTGAATATCGAACATTATAAATTGATATATTCTACCTTTTCATATATCCTGATCTTTTACTATGTGACATCTTAAACCGTGATGTAACTACTTCGAATGACTTTCAAACTGATTTACGATAATTATATTGCTGGAAACATGAGAGTCATTAGATAACCCATTTGTATCGAGCGCTGCACAAATTAGGGAATGTTTTTCCATTAACTCCACAAAGTGGCTTTAGGATAAAGTGACACATGCATTGAGTATCAAATGGACATCTGCCTCGACAACTGACGCCTGTTTTCCTGAAATTGCAAACACCAACGAACCATAGTTTCAATTTCTGAGTGCAGTAGATATTGCTCTTTTATAAAACAAAAAATGAGATTACTGAGAATGACTGCTACTGTTGTACTTAGTTCCCCCTCTTTCGCCTCATAATTTCCATTTTGAAACCCATAAAACGACCGACGAGTCTTAGAAAGCCGAAGGGATTATATGATGATGTCAGCTCGATTATTTGGTTTTTCTCTATCTAGTTCTTAATTTTAATCAAAAGCGACTCTTCGTTTTTGTGGATTTCTGATAACCCAAGTGTTACTGTCCTTCCTCTAGAAGACTTGTTCTAATTGACATGTATCAGAAAATCAACATGAACATATCTTTGATTGAATTAGATATATTCAATCATAAAAACCCGATTATGGGAATAATGCACCCATGTTTTATTGGGTTTAATTTGTATCTAGAACTTAATTTGAAAGATGCTGTTCTCCAACGTGTCTTTTGTACGTTCTTTTCATTATCCATGTGCAATAGCATCGCAACATCCTTTTCATATTAGTGTACCTGAACAACTTGAACAAACGTTGACTTCCAAATTACAAAAATTGTTGCTTACTCACCTGCATGTTGCTTCACATCTGTTGGGGTATGTTTGTCCGTCCTGTCCGCATACAGGTCTCAGAATCTTTGGACATGCACATTTTGTTTTTTTATGACACGGACATTCTCCTTGACAAGCCACTCTCGTATTCCTTTGAAAAGAAAATTAAAATGATATTACAAGGAAATACGGAGAATTACATTAGATAGTAAATGGTTAGTTGAACTTTTATTGACCCTATAAAGTAATTATGATTTAGCAAAATTCCCCTGTAATCGGTAATTTAGCTCTTAAAATATACCTTATTTAAAGATATTTAATTTACGCTAAGTTGTTTTCATCATCATCATTTATGTATGTGATTATTGGAATTATGACAACACGAAGGTGCTTATTCTTCCAATGAGTGCACCCCTGTCCATAGCTATGATATTCGCATGCACTACAATGTAACATGGAATATTGCTAGTTTGTTGTTTTATAATCAATGTACTTTTCAATGACATAAGTGCCTTTCATTCATAATATACCCCAATCATGAATGTATGGCGACCAAAGCAAACAAATGTTTAAGAACACCAATGATTCATCAAAATCATAATTAAAACACAAAATGAACTAAAACGAGGCGGAAGTATGACCATAACAGCACAACGTACAAGTAATTTACTAGGATGATGTATAACAACTAAATCGTTAGGCATGCTCCAGAACATCTAAATAATCAAACTCAATATCGATAAAGGACATAAAATGTTTCTGATGCTGTTCTGACGGTGACTACAAAACTTACTCAGTCATTTATCCAAACCCTTTCTGGTAAACATAACAGTTATTAGTTTTCATGAATCGCACAGATCATGATATCGGGGACAGGCTCTAAATTCTCATAGTTTGCGAAGCAGGTATCATACTTAGGTATGTGATATTTGCATCAGGGAGATAGGCACATTATTTTGTTAATTTTATTTACTCTGTGTAACTACACATGTTAGGTTCAATAACCTATAGACATCCTTTATTGTTAGAGAAGAACAATTATGTAAAATAGACACTGGACTAGTTCAAGTTGTAATTATTTCCATTCATAGTGTTAGAAATGAACTACATACGATTCTTCAGCTGTACACTTGTTCCCGTACGTCCGTCCGTCCACTCCACACACTGGACGGTATTCTGTAGTGCATACACGAACTTCAGATCGACAAGGACATTCGCCTTTACACTCCACAGGAACTTCGCTAAGTATGGAAAGCATATAATTACATAATATGAAAACAAAATTTATTATTGATTTTTAATGACTGAGTCAACTTCACTTTTCTACATTTCTCAAAAGATTATGGATTGCTTGTCACGTTGCTTTTTCCTGCTGGTTTATTCTGAGTTAGCTTCCAATTGACATACAGACACTGTAACAAGTATGTGTTTTCATTGTTGATGTTTCTAGAGAGTTTAGATAGTATCAGTTTATGATACTAAGAGCAAATTAACTTTCACAAGTAAATGGGGACTTTGCAACAGACAGGTCTAGAGTTCGAATCCACGGACTCAACAAATATCCTCGGTAGTCTCCATCAGTACCCGTCATTGTATATATCTTTAACAACTCCAAGGAAAAACACAAAATCATTAAATGTGACCTGTGTATCTACATTTAAAATAAGGTAAACCTGTAGGAGATTGAAATACTTACGCGCAATCAGCTCCACAAATATTTCCATAAGTTTTCCTATTGACACCACAGACAGGGTCGTAGTTCAGTTTACATAAACAGGGCGCTGATTTTTTACATGGGCATTTCCCCTCACAGGCCTTCTCAACACCACTGCAAAACCATCCAGTGTTTTTGAATTGTTATATCAACATGATATAAATCTATGATATATTATCGATAATAAACATCAATACATTGTAAACATCGGAGTGTCTAAAACGATTATTTAATTTCCGATTACTTACGCGCACTTAGATAAGCATTTGTTTCCATATGTTTTTCCATCGACGCCACAGACAGGTTGGTGATTTTTGGTACATACACAGGGCTTACGTTTTGTACACGGACACTCTCCATCACATGCCTCTGTCACGCCTCTGTTGTCATAGTTAAAAGTAACAGTCAGAAACATATTAAAGGCCGGAGAGGCAATATGGCACAATCTAAAACACTTAATAGCAATGAAATTTATTCAGATTTAATTGCTTCTATTGAATGACACTACTGAGTTTAAATAGAATAATTCACATAAAAATGAAAGTCTAACACTATCGTATGTGTTGAAAAAGCTCTTTCGGCTAGGTTAGAGGCAAATCAGTTTTGTTTCAAGATTTTCTACAATGAATTACTCACGCGCACTTAGCTCCGCATGCGTTTCCGTAGGTTTGTCCATCAACGCCACAGACGGGGTTGTAGTCTAGGGTACATACACAGGGCTTAAGTTTCTTACACGGGCACTCTCCATCACATGCCTTCTCTACGCCCCTGCAAAACCGTAGATTGAGTGTGAATTTGGGGATGCATCGAAAAATTCATAATGTGAAACAATACATTATTTTTCGGAGTTCCTCACATTTCTTTAATCAACTATATTATATGATACATGAAAAGATGAATAGAGTCAATTTACACCAATAGTAAAACTATACTGTGTTGTTAATAGATATCTGCCATGGTTGGGTTCTACACCATTGATTATTTATGTTAGCATATTCTATATAGAATCACTTACGCGCAATTAGCACCGCATACGTTTCCATAAGTTTTTCCGTCGACGCCACAGACGGGGTTGTAGTCTAATGTACACACACAAATCTTTGGTCTTTTACACGGGCACTCTCCATTACAAGCCTTCTCAACGCTCCTATTGTTATATATGATAAATAGAACTAAACCATTATATATAAAATAAAACTTCACGTACTTGCGATTTTCTCAAGATTCATTCTGTATTCTATCTGTGATTCTATAGATATTTTTTCTTTACACCGATTCATTTCTCCCCTAGGTAGGTACACAATAAATGCGGAACATATTGGATCTATGTCAAGGTATTGAATTACGTCCATTCTTTCGATATTTTCGATTTATTTGATAATGTAAGGGCGTGAATTTCGTGGTAAATGTATCAGCTCTTAGCTGCTTAATATAAACTTGAAGGTGCTCACGCGCATTTCGCTGTACACGGGTTTCCGTAGGTTTTGCCGTCTAACCCGCAGACTGGGTTGTATTCCTTGGTGCAAATGCACGGCTGGTGGTCGACTTTACAAGGACACTGACCTTTACAATTTACTTTTACTTTCCTGAAACAAAGGAAATGAATCAGGAACATAATTTCACATTAAAGACAATCAGATTGAGATATTCTTGTCAACATAGTCTTCACAGTATACAGACACAAGTCTGAAAAGGCCAGGATGTAGCCGTTGTAAACTTATATTGATGGGTGATTTTAGTTACTTTGTAAAGACATGTTTCTGTATACTCACGTTTTATATTCATGGTATCATTGCTGATTTCAATTATTTGACATATAAAAAAAGTCATGACATCAAGTGGACATCGTGCTTTGGGAGAATTATATATTGTAGGTTTTAAAAAACACTTACGCGCATCTTGCAGTACATGGGTTGCCGTAGTTTTTACCGTCCACGCCGCACACTGGGTTGTATTCCTTGGTACAGAAGCACCGCCGGTCGATCTCACAGGGACATCGACCTTTACAAGCAATGCCGATTTTTCTGTAAAAAAGGACAATTCCATTATTGATTTTCGTTCCACCTGAAGAAACATCAATCACTCGAAAATGTACAACTATTTTTTTTTATTACCTACAAAACCGTTCAGATTGTTTCTGTAGTCTGTTTCCTAATGTACCACACATGAAAAATAAAAAGGTAAGGGTAGATTTGTGTTAAGACTATTCTAAGATACTGTTTGTCAATAGAATATAATAAGTAAATAACATATTGATCATACATCCAGAACTTAATTGGCATTTCAATGATAAAGGATGTAACCATGACTATGTTTTCATCTCAAGCATATGTTGTGCATATTAATGAAACATCTGCCTAGGTGGCATTACTAAACTATCTTCAAAATAGGAATAATTCTTCTACGTGCAAATTCTTTTGGTGCTACGTACGTTTATAACAGTTCTCTGCTGTTGATATATGAAAACATTAAAATATTTCTAAGCATAGCTTGATTTTTATGTATATATAAAATAGCGTATGGAAGTTGAAATTATTGACCGTTAAAAAACATTAAAAGAAAGCATATATTCAGAAAAACAATTAAGCGATCAAAATGCGCTCATGTTTCTGAAGTCCATGCACTCCCTAGAATCGGGATATATGTTACACTTTTCGAGATCAACAACGTGCGTACCTGCGATTAGCAACACATGTGCTTCTATATGTGCGACCGTCTACACCACACACTCGTCCACGTTGTGTGCTACAACGCCGTCTCCTGTCTGTAATAAAATAATATTCCATTATACACGGAAAAATCATAGTAATGTAAACCATGTCTGGTGAGATTTTACATCTTATTACATCTTTGAAGTGAAGAGAATAGATCTGTTGGCTATACTTCATGTTTTGCGTGTATTGCTAGTTCAAGTGCCTGTAGCGATGTTACAATTACACCAGGACTATATTCTGGTAAAAAAGGGAATACAACAATACAGGGCACAACTGTGACAGTTTGTTCATCGTTGTGTACAGTCCTATATATGGCTTAGTAAATTAATCATTTCGCAGTCACTAACAGTGGTTTTATTGTCGTGCTGGTTGCCAAGGGCTTCCTGTTTGATAATTTATTATTTATATCGATTCCTCGCGTTGTACAACATCCTCATGTATGATACTCTTACATCAAAGACGTGTCTTAAAATGACGAAACAATTCACCAAGGACTTCATTCTCGTGTGATATTACCTACCTCTACCTTCATCCTCATGTAATATCACTTACCTTTGACTTCATCCTGGTGTAATATTACTTACCTCTAGCCTCAACCTCGTGTAATATCACTTACCTTTGACTTCATCCTCGTGTAATATTACTTACCTCTAGCCTCAACCTTGTGTAATATCACTTACCTTTGACTTCATCCTCGTGTAATATCACTTACCTTTGACTTCATCCTCGTGTAATATCACTTACCTTTGACTTCATCCTCGTGTAATATTACTTACCTCTAGCCTCAACCTTGTGTAATATCACTTACCTTTGACTTCATCCTCGTGTAATATCACTTACCTTTGACTTCATCCTCGTGTAATATCACTTACCTTTGACTTCATCCTCGTGTAATATTACTTACCTCTAGCCTCAACCTTGTGTAATATCACTTACCTTTGACTTCATCCTCGTGTAATATTACTTACCTCTAGCCTCAACCTTGTATAATTCACTTACCTTTGACTTCATCCTCGTGTAATATTACTTACCTCTAGCTTCATCCTTATGTAATATTACTTACCTCTGGCTTCATCCTCGTGTAATATTACTTACCTCTAGCCTCAACCTTGTGTAATATCACTTACCTTTGACTTCATCCTCGTGTAATATTACTTACCTCTAGCCTCAACCTTGTGTAATATCACTTACCTTTGACTTCATCCTCGTGTAATATCACTTACCTTTTGACTTCATCCTCGTGTAATATTACTCATCTCTAGCCTCAACCTTGTGTCATATCACTTACCTTTGACTTCATCCTCGTGTAATATTACTCATCTCTAGCCCCAACCTTGTGTAATATCACTTACCTTTTGACTTCATCCTCGTGTAATATTACTCATCTCTAACCCCAACCTTGTGTAATATCACTTACCTTTGACTTCATCCTCGTGTAATATTACTTACCTCTAGCTTCATCCTTATGTAATATTACTTACCTCTGGCTTCATCCTCGTGTAATATCACTTTCTCACTGTAATACTTACGAATTGCTTCACCTTCGGTTACAAGATAGCATGCGACTATCAAAAGAAATCCTTGTAAGTAAAGAAAGTTCCTCATTCTGATTCGTTATCTTCGGGAATCCTGATGCACCTGAGCTGTAAGATAGTGAGACGGTTTTATAAACTCCTCCTTCCCGGATGTCACGTAGATAGTGACAGCTACATATCTCACTTGGCGTCACATGACAGAACACATTGATCATATTCATGTGGCTAAATGGAGGACATAATGCTATGTATAAAGTGTAGGAATATTGTTGATGTTTGAAAACATTTTCTCTGGAGAATATGTGATAAATAAAATGATGTTTTATATTTGGACAATATTTTGAGACTCGCATCATTAATCACTGTGTCAGTTACGTGTAACAATATAAAAATATACCTAAAACAGGTGCAAATTATAGTAAAACAATTTGCTTTCCTGATATTAAGACAAACTTAGCATAAACAATCTACAATTATCTGCTCAATAATTAATGTATTTTATATTGTAACAAAAATTGTCTACTCACAGATATAGCTTTGTTATCAAGTAGGAGGTGATTCAGTTACTCGCAATAAATCAGTTTCACGGAACAATCTACTTTTATCTACATATCTTGTATTGATCATGGCACATTATCGCGTAGAGCCATCTGTGGCGTCAAATTAATTGAATTATCAAAAGCATTTTCTTAAGATAGCGTAGCATTTACAACTTCATACTGAGTTGAAATATTGTAGTACTTTTAAATTTTAAATCATTATATACAGTCATTGCTAGACATGACGTATGGAAATGTTTTTTTTTTTTAACTAAAATTCGTATCGGTGAAAACGTGACCATCTCTTCCATCCCAAATTATCTGGGTATGTTAAAAAATGCTTATACTGACATGTTTACTACGCAACACATCAGAGTTGTTTGCGTCATATATGCACGAATCGAGACTGAATTCACACGCACCTACGTTATGCGGCGTGACGTTACAATGTTCTTATTGGCTATCTAGAATACATGCTACTGGTTGATTCATAGTAATGTGATGTCAGCTTAATTGTTACACGAATTATGATAATCATCGTTCTTGAAAACTGCGTTATGAAGTATAAATTTGATTTACTTTACAATAATTGTGAAACAAGCTATCAGATTATATCAATCATTCCTGTTGGCCCAGGTGAAAGCGAAGAGGGATCTTAGAAGGAACCGGATAACCCCGAGAAACCCATCCATGGTCAGACAGGCAGGTCGACCCAATACTTCCCATTAACCCCGACGTCGAGGTGAAAGGCTAGTGTGATACCACTGCCACACCCGACCACAAATTATTGTAATGCGTTCTGCTATTTAGAAACAAACGTAACATTATATCGAAATAATACATTAATTCATTCATTTCAATTTATTTCAATTTCCAATTCTACAGATCCGATGTCCACTTACAGAATGGATAACAAATATAACACAAGTATAAATATCACAGTCACATGAAACATAGAACTATTAAATGTACAAAATATGGAACTATTGGTAAAAGGCATCCATGAGTCGTGCTTTAAATATGGTGAGAGACGAATAAAACATATCACAGTATGAAACAAGACCAGGAGATTGTCGCTTTCTATTTCATTGAAATATAAATTTTATAGAAAGCATTCTGCTATTGTTATTCATATGAAACCATGCATCTGACTCATTTTAGCGCTTAAGACATTTCTCATACATTAACTGTGCATATCAATGTAAAGTATACTGCCTTCTGGACGTAATAACGAAAACAAGTGTAGGAAATTTAAATGTTATCTTACCTGTAGACTTCTTGCTTCAACTCTATGTACTGTTTATTTTAGACGTTGGTCTGGGTGTTTATATAATGTAGAGTGGGTGTATGTTATCAGTTTGAAGTAGTAGAAGGTAAGGAGAGCCGGAAACAATTCTGATTTAATAGTACCGAGCATCAACTTGACAAGAGCCGTAAAGGTCAAAAAGTGAAATTTACTCCTATTTTTTTATTTGTACGGAAGGCTTGCGAGGTCATGTCCTTATTTAAGTACCAACTACATCTGAAGGATGGTTGTCTAATTGAGGTAAATGAAAATCAAAAAATAAAATACAATAATAATCATAATACTATATCTCCAAGCGATTTCGGTTCCCATCGACTTATTCTATATGTTGTTTTATAGATACTTTTATATGTATCATTTTGTAGAGATAAATGTACTGCTGCTGGTCATGTTATTAATTAAACAGGTATTAAATATCACATCTACGATCACTTTGTCACTTTATCACAACAATAAACAACATAGCAATTACAACGTTATGCTAATTCCACTTTAACCCCTGTGTTATACTATGGTGTAAACCACTACTTTCCCCGCTTGGTTTCCATACACTACTACACTTTATCGCAATAACACCGAAATGATTCAGTGTTTACATGGCTGATTTATAACAGTCCTGCTCCCAAGAGCCTGGGAAAATCAGATTGTACGTGGTAGATTGTTTTTTAAATCGACCTGGAAATCCCATCAACATAACAAAGTTGTTATAAGTATATAGAGGTGTTGAATACGCTCCTTTATAATGTTACGTCATACTGTTCAAAATAAGAAAATCAGATGAGACAATCATTTAATGGTCCAATATGTGGGATTGGGCACACTATTTTTCATATCCATGTTGGTATTTAGAGATATTCATGCATAGTTTTTATGCTACCCGTAAATTTTGCGGTCAACTTGTGTTCCTGTGCGGTAACCTCTTTCCTTCTTTTATTTATTATGCCAAAATTTGCCATACTTGTAAGAGTCATAGTGATGTTCTGTTTTTCTGTGTTTTTAATGATTACCATATTTGATACACATGTTAAACGAGATGTTGCAATATATGTATAGTATGACAAGATCTGTGTAATGAAAAAATCGACAAGTATATATAAAATAGGTAAAACAATCATGCAAATCATAATTAGGAAACATTTGTTTTATCAAATTGCGAAGAAATACTAACAACATATCCTTAAACAGGACTAACTACACACTAGATTACTTGTCTCCGTGACAACTTATCATTTCTCTGCCCTAGCTAAGCTAAGAAAAAAAGACGGAAGGCAGTCCATTGTAGATGCCAACACAGGAATTTCTGTACTTCTTGTGTAGAAATTGTGATAATAATGCAGTGAGGTGGTTATAACTAGCATGTCAATGCCACGATATTCGGATACTGTCACCAGAACCACCAATCAACGTGATAACAATATCAATACACCACAATAAGATAGTACATCATTACCACCACATCTTCATATCAATATATTAATTGGCTCGATGACGATGGCAAAGTATAATCCCACAACCTATCGGACAAATTTTCCAACAGGTTGCTATTTTAAAGTTCTATTCACACTCGCATAATGATGTATACTACTCAATATACATGCTCCTTGTTTT